TTTTTTTTTTTTTTTTTTTTTTTTTTCATTTTTTTTTTTTTAAATTTTCATAGTATTTCACTTTTTTATATTTTACTATTTTTCATAAAAAAAAAAAGAAATTTTTTTTTTTTTTTTTTCTTTTTTTTTAAAGACATTCGATGCAATTGATGGTAAACAAGCAAGAAGAACTAATACGAGTTCTCCATTAGGGCAACTGTTTGATCATGGATGTGACTCAATAACATCAGTAAAATTCTTTATATCATTTTTATTTTATTTCTTTTTTTTTTTATTTAAATTATGCATAACTTTTTTTTTTCTTTTTTGAAGTCTTTATTTATTTTTATTGTTGGAAAAGTGGCTGATTTACCAAAAGGATTAATTTACTACATTGTATATTTAAATTAAAATAAATATTTTAAAAAAAATATATAACAAATAAATTATAATCAATAATATATCTTCTTTTTTTTTTTTTTTTTATAAACAAATGTTTTAGTTGTTATCCTCAATTCAACTTCAAACATACTTATTTTCGGTATTACAAGAAATTTGATAAAATATAATATAAATATTATATATAATAATAATATTATTTTTTTTCATAAATATATTCTTCTTTTAAATAAGTGGGTAGAATATCACACAAGAGTATACAACACATCAATAGGGAGATTTGGAATAACTGAAGCTCATGTTATAGTAAAAAAAAAAAAAACTAAAAAAAATAAAATAAAAAAATAAAATAAAATTAAAAAATTATATATATTTATTTATTTATATATTTGTTTATATTTTTTTTTTTTTTTTTTTCAAGGTTATATCTATTTGCATATTACGTGGAATTAAAGGAGTAGGAATATTTAATACAACTGTCAATGACATATTACCAGAAAATATCCGGTTTTTAACTAAAAAATTAAAAAAATATATTTATATATATATATATATATATATATATATCTTTTATTGTTAATAACTTAAATTCTTTATTTAAATCTTTTTTTTTTTTTTTTCTTAGCAAATTTTTATGTGAATATATGTTAGGTGTAAAATTAAATTATCTTATATTAATTCCAGTGTCTTTTTTGTAATTAAAAAATAAAATAATTTTATTATTCTATTTATATATTTTCAGAAAAAAAATTAAAATTCATTTTTATAATTATATTTATTATGATATATTATATAATTAATTTTATTTATTTTTTTTTTTTTTTTAAGTATTTTGCTTACAATTTCAAGAAGTATATATATGGGATTGCAACATGCGAAGAAAAAAAGAGAAGCTTTAAGTTATTTTATAAATTTATAGAAGTTTTCAATAATTTTTTAAATTTTTTATATATTTCTTTTTTTTTTTAATAATAACATTTCTCTCTTCTTTTTATAGGCCAATTAGCAATATTTTATATTTTTGTCTTTATACAATACTATTTCTATAAATCACGTAAAAAATTAAGAAAAAAAGAATTTTTATATGTAAAAAAAATTAGATTAGCATTTACTTTTTTTTTTTTTTTTTTTTTTTATTTTGTTTTCAGCTTTAACAGTTAAGCATGAGCTAATATGTTTCTTAATAATATCTTTGTATTCAAGTGTTTATACTTTACATATGAATTTATCGAGTGTTTTAAAAGTAATTCCTATTTTATAAGCCTTTTAATTATAAGGGCTTTTTTTTTTTCTATGTTATAGCTTTTTATAAATTTTATATATATTTATTAGAAAATTAATAAATTTTTATATTATTATTCATTACTAATATATTATTAGTAACAAAAAATAGAATGAATATATTTATAAAAATATATAAAAAATATTTTTTTATGCTTTACATTTTTTCCTTTTCTTTTAGATTCAAATGGAATTATTTCCTTCACCTACGATATTTTATTATATTTCAATACTTGTATTATTATTAAAGCAATCAACAAATTATCAGTTCTTAACTATCTTCATATTTAAAGATATATTTATATTAAGTTGTATGTTGATATTTATTATAATTTATTTATTAGATTATGCTAATACAATAATATCTAATGTTTGTAGAGAACTCAACATTAATTTTTTATTTAACAAAAAGATTAAAACAAAATAATAAATATTATATGATAAAATTTGAATATATACCTTTTTTTTTTCCAATTTTTTGTTTTGATATTTTTAATTTTTTATTACACTTATATATATATATATATATTTTTAATTTTTATCTTTTAAATTTTTTTTATTCATGATTTTCACTGCTTTATAGAGAGAAAAAAATAAATTGTAAAATAAAAACAAGTTGCATACACATTTTATTTAAATATTTCTTAATTTTTATTTGTTGATATAAATACAATTATATATATGCATATATATTTGAATAATTACAATTACATCTTCATTTTTGTTTTATTTTATTATCAAATAAAATATGGAAATATTGTGAAAAAATAACTATGATGTTATCATGAAATGCAGTAAATATTGAATAGTTTTATTTTTTTTTTTTTACAAAAAATAGAATTTATAATTTATTAATAGAATAATGTTAATTATAAATTCATAATTCATTAACTCGAAATATGATAACATTATTTCGTGTTCGAAATATTTGAATAAAAAATACTTAAAATTTATAAAAAGAATTAATATCTAGCAAAATTCTAATAAAAAAAAAACAACTAAAATTATAAGAAAAAAAAAAAAAGTTGCAATAATACATATAATTAAAAAAATTTAAGTAAAAAAATAAGCTTAAAAAACTAAAGTGAAAAATTATAAATGAAAGAGAAATTTTACACTTTATAGGAAAATTATATTTTTTATATATACTGAAATATATATAAAATTCTTTAAAAAAAATTTTGGTTTTTTTTTTTATGCTAAAAAAAAAATTAATTTTTTTTTTTTTTCTTATTCTAATAAATTTATATAAGACAATTTATTTTTTATTATATTTTATTTTTTTATTTTTTTTTTTTTTGGTGCAATTGTTTTTAAGTGTTGTAGAAATATATACATTAAATAATATTCATAAAAAAAAAAAAAAAATATAATAATAATTAATAAACTATAAAATAATATGTGAAATAATAATAAAAATTAAAATATGATAAAATAAAAACAAACATGTATAAATATTTATTTCTGATAAATTTAAGAAGGTAATGATTCAAATTTAAAATAATTTATTAGATAAAAAAAGGATATATATATATAAATAATTAAAGTCCATATAATACATAATTAAATTAAAAAAAAAAAGTTTTAAAATGACACTTTTGTATGATAAAATAGAGAAATATAAAATAAAAGTATATGTAAATATATAACATTTTATTCAAAATAAAAATGTCTTTTTTTTTTTTTTTTTTTTTTTTTTTTAAGTATGTAATTATGATAATCAAAATATAATATATATATGTATAATAATTAAAAATAGAAAGTAAAAAAAAAAAAAAATTAGTATGAAAAATTATTTATATTTTTCACTTTTTACTCCATATACCAAAACAATATCATTATTATTATTATTTGAATTATTTTTGTTATTATCTATAGAGTTACTTCTAATAGTTTTTGTCTCACTGTTCTTATTAGTAATATTATTGTTATCATCAGCAGTATTATTGTTATTATTAGTAATATTATTGTTATCATCAGCAGTATTATTGTTATTATTGGTAACATTATTGTTATCATCAGTAGTATTATTGTTATTATTAGTAATATTATTGTTATCATCAGCAGTATTATTGTTATTATTGGTAACATTATTGTTATCATCAGTAGTATTATTGTTATTATTAGTAATATTATTAATGTTATTATTATCAATATTATTATTTATACTTCGTGGAATCAAATTGCATTCACTATCAACATTAACATCATTAAAACTAAAAGCAAAATCAGTTAAATGAGGATCTAATAATACTTTTATTTTACTATATAAATCTGAAGCTGATGGTCGATCGGCTGGGTTAGGTTTAGACATTTGTAACATTAAAATGTACCAAGGATTTAAATGAATTTTAACATAATCTGGTACAGTATAATAGTTTCTAAAATCATTTAATCTTTTATATCTTTCCATTATAGTGTTAAAACGAGGACATAGTAATTCTAGTAATATCAAAGCTGCACTATAAATATCTGCTTTTTCATCACATAAAGCTCCTCCCTCTGGAGCTGTATATCCTGGGGTTCCTATGATTTGCCCTTTTAAAGAAATCTGACTTGTTAAGGTATTTTGATTAATTTGTGTATATATATTATCTTTTGTGGAATCTTTATTATTAAGATCTTTTTCTCTTTTTTTTTCTTCAATAAATCTAACTAATCCTAAATCTCCTATTTTTAAAGTATAAGTATCTGGATCTACAAAAATATTATCTGGTTTTAAATCCCTATGAATAAAGCAAGTTGAATGAATATCTTTTAAACCCTTAATTAATTGCTTAAATAAATCAAATTCTAAAGGATGATTCATATTTTTGTCACAATAAGTAAAATGTAATGGTTTATCACTTCTCGTTGATCTATCTAGCCATTTACGAAGTGTATAACCTTTACACAATTCCATTTGCAATAATAAGACTATTGAAAATTCAGGACCAACCTTTTTTTTTTTATAATTCCTTATTTTATCATAATTTCCATTTTGATTTCCTAATTCTTTATATTCTTTATCTTTTTCTTTATTTTTGTTATTTGTTTCTTCTTTTTTTTTTATATTAAGAAATTTTTCATTTTTTACATGAGAAGCATTTTTATAATTATCCTTTGTTTTTTTATGTAATTTTTCATATATATCAGATTCTTTATTATCTTCAATATGGTCATTTTGTAAAGAAAAATTTATACTACGCTCCTCTATATTACACTTTTGTAATAAAGTATTAGCATTACTACTCTGTGCATTTGTTTTATCATAATATTTTTTATTTACAATATTATCATTTACATTAAATTTAATATTTTCATCAGGATTGTTATGTTTCAAATGGCTTGTTCTTTCATCAGGTTTATATACTTCTATATTATCAGAATTTTTATTTGTGTCTGTGATATTATTCTTATTTTTTTTATTATCTGGATCATTTTCATGGTTTGCTATCTGACTATTATTACAAACAATACCTTCTTCATTTTCTGCAAAAACAATTAGGTCTCTATTTCCTTCACTTAAATATCCATTGTCAAAAGGATCATATTCTTGAAAACATGATGCAAAACATATAGAATTATTTTTCTCATGCAAGGTTGAATATTTTTCATTTGGACCAATAACATCGTAATTTTGTTTTTCTTCGTACTTGAATTTTTTCCCTTTTTTCTTTTTTTTTTTTTTTTTTGTTTTAATATTTATATTTTTATCTAAATTATCTGAAAAACTTTTCTCTGTTAAAATCCTCTTCTTTTTATTAGATCTTTTTTTAGAATTTAATTCATTATCACTAAAAAACTTTAAATTATCTCCATTTTTGTTTTTAATAATTTTCTTATAATTTTTTAAATCATTTCCTTCTGTTTCCCATGCTTTCATTTTTTCATAACTGTCACTAAGATTATTATTTTTTTTATTTTTAACATAATGCTTTTTAAAAGAATCTTTGTTCTTTTTAACTAAATTTTGGATTTCTTTAGGAATTACATGCATTGGTAAAAATTGAGGTTCTTCACACCACCAAGTATAATAACGAACAACATGTTTACTATATATATCTCTATTTGCTGCTATCTCACGAAAATATCTTCTTGAACTAACGTTATCTAATGAGCTTACTTTTAAAAAAATAAATTTTACTGCATATGTTGGAGAACCTGGTTCAAGTCTGTGTGATACTTTATAAACTGAACCAAAACCACCCTGTCCTATCAATGAAATATTTTCAAATGTCCTCATAAATCTTCCATTTTCTAAAAAATCAGCTAAAGGTTCATCATATGGGATATGAGACGTTTTAATTAAGGACAAATTTCTTGCACTTGAACTTTTATTATTTATTTTTTCATTATTATTAATTACCATACTTTCTATTTTATTCTTAATATGATTATTTTGCTTACCTGTATTAATAAAACCATTTTCAATATCTTTGGAATTCCTTTTTTTATTTTTTTTCTCTTCATTCGTTTGATTTTCTTCTGTAGTATACTTCTTTGCTGTATGTTTTTTATTTAGGTTAATTTTATTTTCATTATCACTATTTATATATTTATTTCTTTTCTCAGAATCGCTCAAATTCTCCTCACTATTACTATTATAATCGTAATTACTAATTGTTGTTTTGTTAATTTTTACCAGATGATCTACTTGTGAATTTTTTTTCATAAATTTTTTATTAAAATTAGTTAAAAAGCTAAGGAAATCATTTTTATCAAAAATTTTCTCATTAACCTGTTTTTCTTTTAACCGATTATATTTCTTATCTTTTTCATTATCTGTATAATTCTTTTTATAATTTTTATTTCCCAATTTATAATTACTACGAATTTTTTTTTTTACTATAAATGAATATTTATTTGTTATATCTTGTGAGGCAGCTCTTCTTCTATGCATGTGGAACATTTTCTTACCAATAATATCTGATTTTATTGTTTCACTAGATTTTGTCTTACTTGATTTCATATTCAAAATATTATGTAAACTATATTCAGTTTCTCTTCCATAATGCAATGGTAATAAATTAGATATACTCCCATTAAATTCATAATAACTACTATCATTAGTATCTCTTGCATGTCTTGCTAGTATATCAATTAAGGTTGGTTGCTCTGTAGATCCATGTTTTTTGTCATTATTCGTTTTAATATTTGTATCTAACTCTATTTTTGGAATATCAATATCCCTGTTTTCTCTAATAATATTTTTGAATTTTAACTTATCTTCATATAATAAATTATATTTCATATCTAATTCATCACATGTATTTTCATCATAATCACTTAATCTTTTTTTTTTTATTATTACCTTATCTTCATTACTTTTTTTTTTTTTGAATATTCTATAAATAAATAAAAATGGAAAAGCGAATATTAGAATAATTGTATATAGCATATTCCAATACCACCCTTTTTTGTTTTTTATAGAAGAGTATTCTTTTAATTCTTGATTTCTTGAACCAACAACAGTCTTTTTTCGTTTTTTAACTAAAAAATGTTCATTATTTGATAATGTATTATTCTCATTTAAATAATTAAATTCTTTGTTATTATAAGCAAAAGCATTTTGAACAACTCTATATAAATTTGATAGTAGTAAGCAATCATCATCAGTAACATAATTATTAAATATTTTGTCCCATATATTCAACATGGAACAGTAATCAAAACATATTTCATTTTCTTCAAAATACAAATCAATGAATTTATTTATGTATTCACATAAATGAGTAGTTCCTTCATTTTTTGAATTATAAGGATAACTTAAATATTTTTTATTCATTGTCCCTGGCAAATAAAATAAGAATTTTTGTTTTGTTTTGTGATATTCATGTATTAAATTTTGCATCTCATATATATAATCTATAGGTATCTTTTTATGTTTGTCATAAATAAATATAATATTTGATAAAAGATATTTTATATCATTTTCAATAGAAGTTATATTTACAGATATGTTATTCAATCTGTGTAGTAATTTTTTTCCATATATTATATTTTCATCAAAGTTGCAAGATGCACTTTCGTTATTTTTTGAGATATCATTAGCCAGAGGTAAAAAAAGAGTGCTTGATTTCTTAAAATTAATTGGATTATAAGTGAAACTTTTTAAATTATCAAACTCTGATAACAAATTTATATTTTGCTTCATTATTAAATCTAAAGTAAGAATATGAGATGAGTTTTTATATTTTACTGCAAAGACAGATGATATTGACTCTGAAAAAATAAAATTTTTTGATTTTACATTTGAGTTTATTTTGTTCATTTCCTTTTTTTCTTTATTTTCATCTTCTACATTGTTAATATAATTTTTCTCAAAATTTTGTACTTCATCATGAACATTATTATTTGCATTCTTTGAAACACTATAAGTATTTTTCATTTTATTATTTTCCATTGGTCGTAATATCAACTTATTTCCTACAACTTCTATTAAGGAATTAATAAATGACATATCCCTCTTATGACTATCTGTTATAAAAATAGATCCAACATCAACCCACGTGGTTATCCATTTTTTTTTTAAGGAATTCTCATCAACTGCTTTTATAATCCATTTAACTATACTTATTTGTAATTGTCTTTTTTTTCTTTTCTTTTTTTCATTTCTTTTTCTGTTTCTTATTATTTTAAAATTATTATAATATGAGTATCTACTTAATAAACTCCTTTTATATAATCTCATAAAAAAATTTTTAATCAAATTTTTTCTTTTCTTTAATTTGTGAGATCCATTTGATAATTTATATTTACTGCTATTTTTTTTTCTTATTGATAAATATTTATATGTATCATTTTTTGTGTTACAATCATTTAGTATATTTGGAGAATCTTCTTGATTATTTTCATCATCAGAATAATATTCAAGTACACTTTCTTCATCAATTGAAATATCTTTCTGATTGATATTACTTTTATATTTTAATCCAGTTGATTTATTACCACAAATATCTAAATACTCATTTGTTAAAACATTTTTTCTTTTTTCTGAAATATTTTCTGCATGCCTCTCATTCTTGTTAGATATATTATTTCCCTTTTTTTTTTTTGATATATTATTAAAGTTATTATCATATTTTCTTATTACATCCCCAGTATCATAATCTAAATTAATCACACTAGAATACCTAGATCCTATGAATACTATATGTGGAAAAAGAGGTGACTTGAATGGAGAATTATTTACAACATCTTTAATATTTATATTTAATGGTATTGCCTCATTATTTTCATTAACATAATACAAATTTCCATTATAATTTGATATTAATCGTTTAGTTATATTTTTATTTTTTTTTAATTTCTTATAATTAATTTTTGTTTGTATATTGTTGTTAATAATTTTTTTAACAATACTTTTTTCATCATCCTTTAAACATGCATTATTGTGAGAATTGTCTGCTGATAAATTTAAGTATTTACGATAGTGTAGACTTTTCAAAGGCCTTAATTTTAGTTCATTATTTTCACCTTCATTTTTTATTGTTTTGCAATATTTTTCTTCTTTTTCATTCTCATAAAAATTTAAATAATTATGTATATTTTTTACAATTTTATATTTCCAATAATAATTCCCATCAGTTGAAATTTTATATATATACCCAGATATATCTAATACTATTAAGTCATAAATATAATGAGAGGCATCATATTTATATTGTCCATAAAAATATTTATCTCTATAATACTCTGTTATATTCATGTCGTTTTTATTTATATCTCTAATTTCTTTATATGGAAATAATATATTTTTATTCTCTAAACTATTATTAGTAGTAAAATCATCGTTCATAAAAATCTCTAAATTATCATTTAAATTTTTTTCATTAAACATTATTATATCATCTCGAAGTATATTTTCCTTATCATTTGTACAACTTAAATCAAAATTAAAAAAATTGTTTTCTTTTTTTTTACACATAAAGAAACTTTTACTTTTTTCAACATTAGATACATCTTTTATTTCTTTTATATTAAAAAAATATGATCCATTATTTCTATTGCTTTCATTATAATTTTCATATAAGTTATTTCTAACTCTATCTATTGTTTTATCATTTTCCTTATCATTTATAATTTTACTTCTAAAAAGATCACTGCTATTTTCTTCGCTCAATATTCTTTTATAAACTTTATTCTTCTTCATTAATGAAGTATTAATCATATTACTAAATGAAGATAATTCATTTTTTAATGTTACCAATCTTCTTATTTTATCAACTGAATTATATCTGTTATCTACTTCATTATGGAAATTCTGATCATCATATGTATTATTTTGATAATAAGGGACACATTCTGTATTTAATGTATATTTGTAATCGTTACAATATTCATATTCGTTACCGTAAGTATTCAATGGAATTTTATAGAAATTTTCATTTATATTATTATTGTTTTTTTTACCATGTATCATATTGCTGATAATGCTAGATGATATATTATTAACAAATTTATTTTCATCGAATAAATCATATATACAGTTTTTATCGCTTCCTTCATAAAATTTTTTCAATTTTTCTTTTATATCAATATAATTATTAATGTTTGTTAATCTTTCAATACTTGCAATCTTCTCATATATATTTTTTATATTTTTTATAATCATTTCATTAATTCTCTTGAAAATAATATAATTTTTTATAGATTTTCCATTAACTTTCTTTTTTACATTATCATCAGTTGCAAGTTCTTTATTTTTATTTTTACTTTTATTTATTTTCTTAAATTGTATTTTACGACTATATTTGTTAATATTTAAATCCATATTCTCAAAAGAATCATCAACACTTTTATTCCTAAAAACTACTCTTTCGTCATAAAATTGATTCTTATATAATTTGTTTTTTTTATCTAAGGAGTTATAACAATCCATTTTGCTATTTTTATTCTCATGTTTATTATTAGTATATTTGATCATACTAAATAATATTGTATCGTTAGATAGAATATTATTCAAAAAATTATGAAATTTCTCTAAAAAACACTCTTTTCTTATATATGTAAATAAGAAAATATATTTTAAAAAACATATAAAAAGTATGTGACAAAAAAAATAAATATATATACTTTCTATTTTTCTGAAAATACATCTGAAAGCGTTTAAAAGAAAAAACTTAAAATATCCAAAAAATGTATTCAATACTTTGTTGGTGTGCTTCTCCTCGTTATTTAAGATAGTTATAAAATTTAAATAATCTTCATTCAAAAGATTTATTTGATTATAATTTTTTAGATATTTCAATAAAAAAGTGTCTTCATTCCATAATAAATTTGTAACAAATAAATTAAATATATATTTATAATTAATTTTGTCTACGAAGAAAATTTCTTTATTTCCGCAAAAATTAATACTTTTTGCTATATTACACATATTAATTTTGTTTATATTAAAAGTACATAAACAATTTCTTATATAAAACGAAGAGAACTTACAATTTTTATATATATTTTCAATTTTAGGTATTTTAATAAATTTTAAATTGTTATAATAAACTTGTTTATGTATTTTTTTATCATATCTCTTTTCATTATTTGCTTTTAAATCCCAACCAATATAAATAATATTTTTTTTTTTTATATGAATTTTTTTTCTGCAATATACTAATGTGCATATTACATAAAATTTTAACAAATTATAAAATACAAATATATCAACAAATATGTACGAATTTGGAAGAAAGGATTTTTTAAAAAAATTGTTGTAAATTATGTATATTAAATCTCCCTTTTTATCAAACTTGGTAGCACAATAATTATTAACAAATAAAAAATGTTTTATATTTATATAAGCATATTTTCTTCTCCTTTCTTTTATTACACTATTTTCAAATTCAATATTTTTTAATAATAAATCCTTATTCTTATACTCTTTCTTATTTATATTTTCATTAATTAATATAAAATGTTGTAAAAAATTGTGAAATTCCGTTATGTATATTTCATATAATTTAACTGTTTTTGTTAATAAATATCTGTAATTTTCTAATGTTTGTCTTAATATATGAAAGTAATATTTATCTAAATAATTTTTTTTGTAAATGAACTTGTTTATTACTTTTTTGCTGTCATGTTGAATTAATTTGTCAAACGATAATTTATCTTTTTTGTTCTCATTGTTATTTATAAATTGTTTAAAAAAATTTCTATATAAATCTTCTTCTAGAATAATAGGGTTAGAAGAAATGTCTTTGTAAATATTTTGATTTTTTATTTCATTTATAATATATAGTGCATCTATGTTAATTATTAAAGGCTGATTTAAATATCTTAAAAAAAATGAATTTGTCAAAATGAAATATAAATATAATTTAACTGATATATAAAAAAAAAAAACAAACAAACAAACAAACGTCGAGTAACTTTTGAAAAATGAGAAAATATTTTTTAAGAAGCACAAAACATAATTCCAAAATATGAGAAAATTATAAAATAAAATATTTAATTTATGATAAATATTTGATCCTATTTTTATCAGATTTTTTATTGTTCTTGTAACCTTTCTATTTAATGTATGTTCTTCTTCAAATTCTTTCATATCTTTTGAAAAAAAGTTCTTTAATTTCTTCGTAACTTTCCTGTTACTAAATATATTTAATCCTTTCAATAATTTTAATAAAATTTATCTTATTATCAGACTCCCTGTGCATTAATATTATTGAGACAAAAAATTAAAATAAAGAAAAAAAATATATGTAAATAAACTATTGTTTATTCCTGCATATTTCTATTTAAAAACATATATATAAGCATATTAAAAAGGAAAAAAATAAATTATAAAAGAAATCTTCAGAAAAAGTGGAATATATGTCATTAAAAAAAAAAAAAATTCTTTATATTTTTTGCAAAATATATCATTTAAATAATATCCACAATATATATACATATAAAAATACATGTATATATTTTTTTTTATTTAGATTTTGGCACATAAAAAAATAATTCATTATTAATATAGAAAACAACAAAAAAAAAAAAAAAAAAGATAAATACATTAGTTATGCTACATTTGAATAATTTTACAATTTTAAATAAATACCCTAAGTCAAATAATTTATTTTTTTTTTTTTTTTAATTTAAAAATTATATAAAAATTAAATTTTTTTTTTTTTTTTTTAAATGCATTAAGCTTGTTGAAAATAAATGAATTTAAAAGATTTTTAGTGTTTTTTTTTAAGTACTTTTTATATTTTATATTTACACATTCTTAAATTTTTTAATGCAATTTCTGTTAAAATTTCAAAATATAATAATAAATATTTCAAACTCTCCATATGACTTTTCTTTTTGGATCAAAATATAAAAATCTATTTAAAAAAAAGTTATTTTTTCAAAAAATACGTTAAGTGAGTTTTTAATTAAAAATTAGATAGGAATGTAAAAATATTTCTTAGAAACTATTTTTTTTTTAAAAATACAAATTAAATATTTATTCCTCTTGTATATATATTTTAAATAAAGAAAAAAAATCTTTTGATTTTAAAAATTTTATTTTTAGAGGACATTTAAAAAGGAATATATAATATTTATGCGAAATTATCTTTTTTTTATTTAAAATTTGTACTGAAATGGCTTTAGCGAAATGCTTATTTTTCTCGAGAAATTATATGTTGAAAATTTATTATCAATAAAATATTTCTTTGTTACTTTTTTTTTTTTTTCTAAATGTATCTCCTATGGATTAATACATTTTTTTTATTTTGCACATTTCTTTAATTTTTCTTATGGTAAAATGTCAAACTTTAACTTATAATAAAAATTCTCAATACTATTCATTGAAAATGGAAAAAGAAAAATTTTATATAGAAAAGTTTATATGCGAAAATATTTTTAGAATAAATTGCAGTATTACGTTATTTAAAAAATTTTCTTTTTTATAGAATTAAGGAAAATTTAAAATGTTTGGTTTTATTTTATATTATGGAAACATTTAAATACGTTTTAAATACCAAAAAAAAGGAAAAATATATATATATATATATATATATATATATATATATATTTAGTTTAATGAAGTAAATATTTGTATAATTAAAAAAATAGTTTTCTACATTTCCTTTTGGTATATAAAAAAAATAGAATATCTAAAAAATTTTTTTTTTCCATTTAATATGTTATTTTTTCTTGATCATTTATTCAATACACTTTACAGGATATTATTTGAATGACAAATTAATTATTTAATGAAAACATAAAAATATAAAATTATGTATACTCCTAATTTTATAAATAATAAGCATACTAAAAATTACTTTTTAGGTTTGTAATTCTTTTTTTTATATATAAAACCGAAATATAATATTTTATTTAACTTTATATTTTTAATATTCATAATTATTGAATCATAGAAATGAAAATTTTAATGGAATAAATATATATTTTTACTTATATATATATGATAAAAGAACTGTAATAGAAAATTCTAAAATTTTTATTTTATTAAAAAATCCACAAAATATTTTAGTGAGTGTTATATTAATCTCTAGTATTTTATTTTAATGCATACTTCTTAATAAAGCATATAATTTATAACATATATATGAATTCAATTTTTTAATATATTTACATAAAATATGTTTATTTCTTTTTTTTTTTTTTTTTTATTTTTTAGAGTATTAAATTTTTATAAAAATCTAAGATATAAAACACTAATTAATATATTTATATTTTAGTAATAATGTTTTTATAAAGTGTTGTAAATAAAATTCAATATGTTCCTTTGACAAATACCCAATTTATTTATTTTAAATTTCAGTTATATTATGCATATTTGTATATTTTAGATTGTCAAAAATAAAAAAAAATATTAAATTGTTAGTTTTTTCTTAATAAAAATAGAAAAATAGCATATTAAAAAATAATGATAAGTATTAAAATTAAAGAAAAAATAAAAAGAAATCTTTTAATAATATACCAAATGTAAACTGCATATGAATCATTATAAGCATTATACAAGATAGTGTATTTTGTGGTGCTATATTAAAATATTAATCAGCATTTTTCAATAATTTACAATATCACATTACAAAAAAAAATTACATGCAATAATTCAATAACAAATGTCTTTTTTTAAAAAATTGTAACAATTATACAGATAAATAATATATTGCGATATATATATCTTGAAATTTTATAAAAGTATTTCTGTTATTAAAAAAGCCCTCAACTTTTAATAGAAGGATTAATTCTGAATGAAATTATATATGATACGGAATAGAATAAATTATTTAAAATTCTTTAGTAATATCTTAACTCAGAAGTAAAAAAAGGAGATTTTAATAAAAAAATCTTTATAACTTTAATAGAGAAATAGACTAACAAAATAAAATTATAGAAGTAATAAATTTTTTTTTTCATTTAATATGAGAATAAAGATTCATTGAAAAAAAAAAAAATCTTACTTTCAAATGCTAAGAATTTCTACAGAAACTTCATATAATTAAATAATCATTTAGATTATATTAAAAAAAAAAAAAAAATAAGCATGTTAATTCAGAAGTTAAAATAATCTTTACAATTATTTTCATTCAAAATATTTTAAATTAAAATTATAATAAAAAAGAGATAATTATTAACGGTAGGAAAAATTATATTTGAGATGTTGTTATTTTAGAAAGCCTGCGTATTTGTTTGTATTAAAATCCATAAAGAAAATATATTATTTTTTTTCTTACATTTATATTCACCAGAATGTGTAAAATTAATTATAAAGAGTATATATATATAATAAACAGAAATTATTAAAAAATTTCGAATTATTTTTGGAACATATTACCTTAAGATATTTAAATTAAATATATTTAACATATATTTATAATTTTTAAAATAAACAATTTTCCGCATGAAATACCTACGAATACAATATTTAAAATTAATATAATTCTAAATATTAGAAGTACATTACTAATTTTTATTTTATAATTTTAATTATTTAATAGTTTCTATATTTTATTCATACATAACTTGTAATTTTCTAAAAGTTAAAAATTAAAAAAATGGTGCGCCAACTTTAAAAAAAAAAAAAAAAAATTGTTGATCATGTGCATTTTTATCATGGCTGTTCAGAAAAAAAAAAAAAAATTAAAGTTTTAACTATAAATATTTTTTTATAAATAACATGAACTATACATAGATTATTAAAAAGACTTTTTATATTTTTAAAAAATTGATTATATATGTGAATATATTAATATTCCACACAAAATATAGATTGCCTATTTTAATATATAATCATTGTTTTTATTTTTATTTATTTATTCTATTTTTAAATGTTAAAAATTTTTATTTATTATTAATCTGAAATTCAGAAATTTATGAACTTCATTTAAATTTTATGTATGTTAACAGTTCATATTATTTTGTATAAAAAACTGTAGTTTAATTCTATTTTGTTTTTTTCAAATACTTTATTCATTAAGAAATGTCTTAAAAATATCCCCATCATACTTGGCATCTGCATTTTATAGGTCAGATTATTTTTGTTTTTTGTCTTATGTTTTTAATTAATTAAATTATAAATTGTTTTTAATTTAATTTTTAATTTTTTTTTTTTTTTTTTTTTTTTTTTTTTGCCGATAATTATTTAATCAAAAGAACATATTAATAAAAAAATAAATATATATTATTCTTATG